GGAATAAGAAGCATAATTGGTAGGTACAAAATATACAGGGGGAGGTTAAGAATAGTATAGGAAATGGAGAAGCCAAAGAACTTATATGTACGACCCATGGACATGAAATAAGGGAGGTGGAATGATGTAGGGGTGGGGGGATGCATGGTGGACAGGAATCAAGGGGAGAAAAAAAAATGGGACAACTGTAATAGCATAATCAATAAAATATACTTAAACAAATATTGGGTTCTATCCTCCAATTTAATAGCAAACTTTACTGAGACCTATTAGAAAAATAATCAGAGAAGATATCTTTGATTCTTTTATTGATCTGTTATGAGGATCTCTTCCTTTCATCAAGTGTGTATATCTGCAATATAATACAGTAGGAAAATAAAGAATAAGAGAAAGATAGACAAAGGGAGTGGGTGGTTTCAAAGCAGCTATAACTGAGATGGTAAATTAAACTGAAATCACACTTACTGGAAGAACTGACAATTGCTCAGGGCACAGGAAGTGAAAAAATAGGAAAAAATGTTTTTAACTCTTAATTTCCCTACTTCTTCCTCACTGTATTTGGTACTCTTTCTTTCTGTCTTTTTTAAAGCTTTTATTTCTTTAATTTTAGAGAGAGGGGAAGGGAAGGAGAACAAGATGAAGAGAAACATTAATGTAAGAGAGAAACATCGATGGTTGCCTGCTGTACATGTCTAGACCAGGGACCAAACCAACATCCCTTGAGAAACAGAGGAAGAGAATCATAAATGTGTGGTTGCCTCTTGAGCGCTCCCTACTAGGGACCTGGCCCTCAACCCAGGCATATCCCCTGATTGGGAATTGAACTGGTGACCTTTAGGTTCCCAGGTCAGCACTCAATCTGGCTAAGGCTGAGCATAAGGTTTTGATTCTCATTTCTCTTTTTTAAAAAAACTTATTTGGATGTAGACTGCTTTTTGGGGGGCCCATTTTGTGGAAAGAATAAATGTTTGGGGTGGCTTAAAAAATCTCTAGTTCAAGACACCGAAGCCTGGCACCTGGCCCGGCAGGTGTCCTGCAGGTGTCCTCCCGATGCTGCACCATGAAATGGAATCACATCTGTCCCGCAGCCTCCAATAAGAACACAGCCCAGCCTATCCATTTGGACTTCTGACCTCCAGAACCATGAGAGGGTAAACTTCTGTGGTTTTAAGCTGCTGACCTGGTACAGCAACCACAGGACCCCAATGCTGACTGACACGGGGACAGTGAGGCAGTCCGTGCCTGTTTCCATCCCCTCGTCCAGGGTCCGCGCAGCCCTGCTCGTCCATCCCAGCCTGCCACCCAGACTTGAGGAAGCCTTGGGACTCACCCCAACCCAGCCCTCCAGGAAGCCAACACCTACTGAGCCGCTGGCAACTATCTCTGCTCACACACAGCTGGGACATCTGCAGCTGCCTCTGAGTGCCCCCCGCCAACCACCATCAGAGCAAATTCTACCCTAGGCTTGCTCCCCAAAGCACCGCTTCTCAGTCCAGGTCTAAACATGGTGACCACTCTTTCCTTGCTATTCAAAGTCCTGTCTGTGGAGCTGCCGTGAGGCACCACCCAGACCTGTTGGGTCAGAATTGGCATTTCGACACCATCCCCGAGTGGGGGGGGGGGGTAGGCTTCAAATGCACAGTGAAGGCTGAGAGGCCCTGCTTTCCACACCCTGCCCTGGTAGGGGATTGCCAATGGTGCAGACCACTATCGCCATCACGTCACCAAGGCAGTGCCCCGCTCCTCAAAACACAACGCCCGAAACACAGGACTCAGAAGTTAACCGGGCAAAGGAAATAGGAAGAGTTGAGGAAGGTTACCATGGGCGCTCAATTTCATGATTGACGAAACAAATACAACTATAAAGTGTTAAGAGTGATTTTTTGAACCAGGAAAATATAATTTTTATTTTAAAAATAAATATAGATATCATGTTTGGACACCATGGAGAGTTTTTTTTTCTTTTAATTCATTATATCTGATCCTTCAACCAGACCTGGTGGCATCTAGAAGAACTGGAGTGACATGGATCATTTTGTCTTCTATGCTCAGGAAACTTTTGTTGTTAACATGAATCAGTTGCTACAACTTGGGAATCAGCCATAGGAAAATGGCCTTAGAGAAGCAAATTGATTTATTACCATAAGTTTCCAAAAAAAGATCCAGCAGAATGCAGAGAAAAAATGTTCTTTAATCACATGCACACACAGCACCTTGACCTGTTCCTGCACTGATGTGTTCAGAAAACAAAATGACTCATTCCCTATGCTTAAGATCTCCTTGGAATTCATGACAGTAAGAGGAAGAGATTTAAGGGGTTTGTTATTTTTGAATGTTCTTATCATTTTTATGCTGAATTTTAAACAGGAAAATTTACCATCATTGGGGGGTGGGGGTTGTTAGGTTTTGAATTTGAAAAAATGAGAAAGCGAGAAAATGGAGGCATTTGGAATCCAAAAGTTAAAAACATGGTGCAGGTGAGCATATTTTTAACTGATATGTAGAGACACAAAGTAGATCAGTGGTCGCCAGAAGCTGAGGGAAGTGATGAATGGGGAGTGACTGCTAATAGGATTGGGGTTTCTTTTTGGAGTGATGGGAATGTTCTGGAATTAGATCATGGTGATTGTTGCAACAACCTTGTGAATACAGTGGAACCTCAGTTCTCCAACTTAATTCATTCTGAAAGGCTGTTTGAGAAGCGATTGAAAACCAAATCATTTTTTCCCAGATATCAGCATGAAAGGTTCGTCAGGTAGAGAACTGAAGTTTTGTTCGAAAACGGAGACATTTTTTTCCGTGAACAGCTAGTTTGAGAACTAAATTGCTTGTGATGGGAGACATTTGAGAACCAAGGTTTGACTGTATACTCAAGACCATTGAATTGTATACTTTAAAATCATTAATGTTGTGGTATGTATACCTCAACAAAAGATGTAAAGTCAAAAAAATATCTATAGTTCAAGACTGTCCCCTTCTGTAAGAATAGTGAAGTAAGAATGGTGAAGTTCAGTATCCTTTTTCATATATATTTTATTGATTGGAGGCGTGCGTAAGAGAAGGGTCTGATATGTTTTATAGTTCTTTTGTTTCAGTAGGATTTAATTGCCCCCTCTACCTCCTTTCTTTCCCTTTACTAACCCATCTCCAAATGGTAACTCCCCTTTTCTATTTATCTCTTTCCCAGAAGTAATACATTTCCCAAAATGCCACCATAGGTCTCACATACTTTCAAGTCTTTTACCTCTAGCCAGTACTGTGATCAATCAGGTGTTAGATTGCTTTCAGAAATTTTGTATTTACTGTGAAGGTTTATCTTTCTGTTGGTTTTTTTTTCAGACTTGGGCCCTCAACTCCTCTCTCCTCTTTTCCATGTAGTTTTCAAATCTTCCCAAGTCCAAAACATCAAATATAGTTCTGTTAAAATGTGGTGTTTATTCCTTATTCAAAAACAATTTGAAGTTCATAGCCTTCTTTTTCTCCTAGGAAGGCTGGAAGTGTGGGTTAAGTATGGTTTAATTTACATTATTTCTTAGCCTGTATGGTTTTCAGGGAAAATGCGTGGACAAATTTTAATTTAGGAGGCCACCATTATTCTAATGCAATCTGGAAATCCATCAGATCTTTTTATTCTTATTGTTATTACTGATTGTGATCGTAGTATTTTAAAAACATTCTTAACACACCCTACAAAATAAAGCAAGGGCTAAATTTGTGAACAAGTCTTCCTTTTGAAGAAAAACAAGTAACTTTCTTAAAACACCATGCATATAAAAACAGATTCAGAAATCAGTCTCTCATATCGCCCTGACCTATGTGGCTCAGTTGGTTGGGCATCCTCTGGCAAAGCAGAATGTCACAGGTTCAATTCCCGGCCAGGGCACATACTGGGTTATGGGTTCAGTCCCCAGTCAGGGCATGTATGACCGGCAACCAACCAATCAATGTATCTCTCTCACATTGATGTTTCTCACCTTCTCTTTCTCCCTTCCCTCCCCTCTCTCTAAAACTAAATAATAAAATCTTAAAAAAGTCTCTCATATCCAATTAATAATCTAGTATGGTAGAATCTGATATGATACACTATAGCTTACAGTTTTGTGGTAGTTAGAACTCCTTAATGCTCATGTGTAAATAAAATCTACTCTGACCTAAAACATAAGAAATTGTGCTTAGTTTAGAAAGTTATTGAAAAGAAACAAACTAGAATCCATGTTCTTTGTTATTTTTGTCTTTATGATGATAATGCGTAACATGTCAAAGTGATTTTCCCATCCTGGGCTCTAATAAAGTTCATTTGTCCATCTATCCAACATTTATTGAGGACCACTAAATTGCCTAATAATGGGGATACAAAGGTAACTAAGACAAGCCCTTATCTCACAGAAAGTAAGAGAAAATATGGAAGCTGAAGAAGGTTAGATACAGTACAGTGTTCTTTACAAAAAGTCTAAAAATATACAAACCACACTATATATATATATATATATATATACATGCACACACACACATTTTAACAATACACACACACACACACACACACATATGTAGTATAAATACAAAGACATGGAGGAATTGTAATTAAATTCAGTATAAAAGTTAATTCTGGGAGGTTGAGGTGGGAGAATGAAATGAATAAGATCAGAAACGAAAATAAAGGAAGCTCCAATTTTATCTATAGTTTTCAGTTTATTTCTTTAAAAAAGAAAAAGTAAGATCTGAAACAAATTTTGCAAAGTACTAAGATACGACAAAGGTTGATGATAGGATACATGGGTATATCTGTTATATTACCTCTAGTGTTTTCTGTATGCCTAAACAGTTTGTGATTTAAAAAAATATATTCAATTTACTGACAAGATTTGTGAAGTTTTAATTCAGAAGTTTCAGAATATGTTCAAGTTGCATAATAACACAAAATTGAGAACCAATATTAGGAATGAGTGAGAAAAACAGCCCAAATACTGCACATCATTTTTTAGATGAAATGTTATACATACCTGTGAGTGCTAAATAAGAAGCAATGTACCGCTTTTCCAGTCCATCTCTAACGCTTTGAATTGCACCAAAAATTGGAGGTATAATCATAATCAGGTTACTCACTGTATTCCCTGTAGAAAAATATGAGAACATAATTAGGTTAATCACTACTTCTTTAAATAAAGATTATACACTTGGTCCTCAATGAAAATTAAACAGATAACTTCTCAGAAGGATGATGGAGTAATATTTATAAGGTGCTAAAAGAAAAATCTCTATTCACCAAAAATTTCTTAAAAGAATGCAAGTAAAATAAAGATACCTTCAGACAAAGGAAACTAAGAATTGTCAACATGAATATCCACTGAAGAAAAATCTAAATTCTCAAGATAAGATGAAAAAGTATCTCAGGAAAAAAAACTCTCAAAGATACAGCAGAAAATCAGTTGGAGAGGCAGCCTACATCAATGCCACTGGATTGTATGACAAGATAAAATACAGGATTGAGTTAATTATGTCTACTGAATTAAATAGCAACAAATCAAGGTTTGTATTTTGCATTTCTTTTTAAAATGTCAGTTTTGTGGAAATGTTTTTAGTTTTTATGTTTCTCATAAAGCTAATAAGACAATGAATCTTAATCTGATCTTTGTTCTTGTCTTTATAAAAACAGAGCTCAACCACGAACAGCAAAGAAACAATTTTTTTAAAAAATCAATAGCAGAAATAAATAGTAAAATGGGGAAGGAAATGGCTAAACTATTTTATAAATTGATCTGGGCAGAATAAGTGGCACAATACATTCAAAATTCCAAGTAAATGATTTTCAACATTGGAGCTGATGTCAAGACAAATATCAATGAATGGATATATATAGCACACTCTTCTCTACAACAACAGCATACACATTCTTCTCAAGTGCATATGGGACATTTTCCAGGACAGTCCATATGTTAGGCCATAAATTAAGCCTCAACAGGTTTAAAAAGACAGATATCATATGAAGTATCTCCTCCAGCCACAACAGAATGAAGTTAGAAATAAATAACAGAAGGAAAATGGAAATTTTCACAAACTTATGAAAATTAAACAACACATTTTTTAAACAACCAATGGATCAAAGAAGAAATCACAAGGGAAATTAGAAAATACTTAGAGATGACTTAAAATGAATACACAACAGAACAACATTTAAGAGTATACAACAAAATCCGTGGTAAAGGGAAAACTTATAAACACACAAAAAACAAGTATCTTCAAACTGATTTGAAAGAATACTACTTAGGAAAACAAAAATATACAAGACACTGGTAAAGGTAAATATATAGTTAAATTCAGAACCCTCTAATACTGTAATATGATAGTGTATTAATCACTCTAGGATAAAGGTAAAAAGAAAAAATTATTAAAAATAACTAGAGTTTACAATAATTTGTTAATGAATATACAATAAAAAACCAGGTAAACTGTGATATCAAAAACCTAAAAGGGGAGAGTAAAGGCTAGCGTTTTAGTATGGGAAATTAAGTTATCAGTATAAAAGAGACTGTTACATGTAAGCAACATGGTAACCGCAAAGCAACAAAAACCTACAGTAGACACACAAAAAATTAAGAGAAGAGAACCAAAGCATACCACTACAGAAAATCATCAATTCACAAAGGCAGCAGGAGATAAAGAAAGGAATAAAGGAACTACAAAACAAGAAAGCATGAGCAGTCCTCAGTAGGCATTAGTAAATCTTAACCTATTAATAATTACTCTAAATGTAACTGGATTAAATTCTCCAAGAGATTCACTTCAGCTTTAAGGACACACATGGACTCAAAGTGAAGTGATGAAAAAAAAGATAATCCATGCAAGTGAAAACCAAAAGAGAGCAATGGTAGCTACTCTTATCAGATAAATTAGACTTTAAGCCAAAAACTGTAACAAGAGACAAAGAAGATCACTATGTAATAATTAAAGGTTAACGCATCAAGAGACTATAATAATTGTAAATATATACACACTCAACATCAGAGCACCTAAACATATTAAGCAAATATAGTTCTGAAGGAGGAAATAGACAACAATACAATAATAGCAGGGGACATTAATACCTTACTTTCTACAATGAATAGACAGATCATCCAAACAGTAAATCAATACAGTAGACTCCCTTATGTTCCAAGACATTTCCCCCCCACCCAAAACCACGATCGTTCTGAACCATATACTATTTTTTTTAATAGATACAGACCTATGATAAAGCTTACAGCTACTCTTTAGCACATCCAAATTGTTAGCATCACTACTCTTGTGCTTTGGGGCCACTATTAAGTAAAATAAGGGTTACTTGTGAGGCAGGATAGTAAGAGGCTAGGAAAATTCCTGGGTAAGTGGAATGGGGAGGCAGAGACATAAAAATTAAACAAGGCCATACAGTTTGAGCAACCTGCAGCCAGCTGGTGAATCACAAGAACTTATCTCCCCTAACCAAGAGTAAGTGGTTTATACCTCTCCTCCTTAACCAAAGAATACATAGCTTAAATCTCCCTGGTCTGGGAGATAGAGAACAGAGAGCCCATTAATGTCATTTGTGCCAGCTAAACCCAAGGACAGATGAAGTCAGGAGAACAAATAACAAAAACCCCATTAAAAGCCAGAGAGACTCAAGACAAAAGTAAAACAGTACAGTGGACCAAAGAATATTCCCAAAACCCCACTACGTGCTCACAGTGACATATCACCATATTAAAAATGTACCTGGAAAGCTAATGAGTATTCTGCTGAAACCCTCCCCTAAGATCCTCATCCACAGAAAAAGAGATAAAAAGCCCTCAGAACAAAGACACAGAGCAAGTTCACTCCAGAGCACACCCATGTCCCTTCATGGGCATGAACTTTTTATTTCCGCCTAAATTCTAAGGGTCCCAAGGAGACTGGCAGCCAGGGCAGCAGTGGGCAGCGGCAGCTCAACCCCGGCTTACCCACTGATCCTGTCTCCAACGGTCCTTTTTTTCTGACTTCTCAGTGATCCAACAGCAGCCCCACCTTGGCTTTCTAGAGAGCCAAAGCGGCCCCACCTAGGCCCTCTCCAGTCGTTCCTTCTACCCTAAGTCCTCTCTCTCTGTGACCTTTACTTCCCTAGATAGGCTAACCTAGGCTCTCTCCTGTTACTTCCACCCTAAGTCTTTCCTTGGTTTCACTGTCTTCAGCCTTAAATGTATTCTCAAAATTACCTGGACTCCTGTTGTGAAATTTTTCCTACACCAAGTGAAGAACCTACACACTACTGGCCACCCAGAGGGAGACCTGCTCCTGACCAGTGCCTGTCCAGTAACACATGAACACAAGCAGTGCACCACCACAAGAATCAATCTGATAACTGAAACGGCTACTAAGTGACTAATGGGTGAGTAACCTATAAAGTGCAGATATACTGAGCAAAGGAATGATTCGCAGAGCAGGACAGCGACAGTTTTCACCATGTTACTCAGAGCAACATTCAACTTAAAACTTACAAACTGTTTATTCCTGGAGTTTTCTTTCCATTAGTATTTTCAGACCACAGTTATGAATCTGTGGAAAGCAAAACCACGAATAAGGGGTAACTACCACAAAGAAAAGCTGGACTTCAACTACACTTGAGACCAAATAAACCTAACAGACACACAAAACATTTTATCTAAGAGGAGCAGTACACACATTCTCATCAGGCATGTCTGAAACATTCTCCAGGATAGATCATATGACAGATAACAAAACAAATCTGAGCACATTTAAGAAGACTGAAATCATACAAAGTACTGGGTTGGCCAAAAACTTCATTTAATTTTTTCCATACAGTGGCTCTAGTAGTGCTTAGTTTTCTTTACCCCAGTTGAAAAAATTTTGTTAGATTGTATTGTGACAGCTGTCGTATCAGTGAGCATTTTTTAAAAACTTATCAAATTGGTGAATTTGTATGCAGCCATTTTAATGTTGAAGATCAAAAAAGGTAAACATTTTCAATGTATTATGCTTTATTATTTCAAGTAAGGTAAAAACACAACTAAAATGTAAGAAAAGGTTTGTGCAGTATACAGAGAAGGTGCTGTGACTGATCAAACGTGTCAAAAGTGGTTTGAAAGTTTCTTGGTACTACTGATATTTTGGCCAAGTAATTCTTTGCTGTGGGGCTGCCTTATGCATTGGATGGTGTTTAGCAGCACCCCTGGCCCCTACCCATGAGAAGCCAATAGCAAGAGATAGTCGACATACTCAAAATATCCAAATCAATAAAATTATTGGTGAAAATGAAAAATGTCTTTTATTTTACAGAAAAAACTAAATGGACTTTTTGGCCAACCCAATATCTTTTCCAACCACAATGATATAAAATTAAAAATCAGTAACAGGAGGAAAACTAGAAATTCACATATGTGGAAGTTAAACAACATAACACCGGAACAACCAGTGGAGCAAAGAGATCAAAATGTAATAAAAAAATATCTTGAATCAAATGCAAATGAAAACACAACATACTAAATCTTATAGGATACAGCTAAAGAGGAAAGTTTATACCAATAAATGCCTACATTAAGAGAGAAATATCTCAAATAGACAACCTAATTTTACACCTCAGAAAACTAGAAAAAGAACAAACTAAGCCCAAAGTTAGAAGAAAAGAAATGAAGATCAGAATGGAAATGAAATTAAATATATCAATTTCATTTCTTCAAACTAAGAGAGAGTTTTTTGAAAAGATAAACAAAATTAACAAAATTTCAGCTAGACTAAATCAGGGAAAAAAAGAGAGGGTGCAAATAAGTAAAATCAGAAATGAAAGAGAACATTACAACCTATACGACAAATACAAAGGATCATGAAAGACTACTATGAACAATTATATGCCAACAAAAAACCTAGAAGAAATGGATAAATTCCTAGATATATGCAATCTACCATGACTGATCAGGGAAAAAAGAAAATCTGAATGGACCAATAACAAGTAAGGAGATTGAATCAGTAATCAAAAACCTCCCAACACAGAAAAGTTGAGGACAAGTGGTTTCACTGGCAAACTCTACCAAACATTTTTTAAAAAATTAATACTGAATCTTTTCAAACTCTACTAAAAAAACAGAAGAGGGTGCCCTGGCTCGGT